AGTATCTGAGCACATAGTACACTACTTGTGCTTTTAGTCGGCAAAACAGTCCGGTGTTACCATTTTATTTTTAGACAAGGTTAACATAGATTTCCTGTTATTTCTGTTACAAATTTGAAGCAACACATACTACAGTTCATTTCCTTGTAAAGTGGAAGATATAGACAAAATGCATACAGTTATTCTAAGGCTGCTAGTATCTTTCTTGTGGAGCTCACTTATGCACCCCAGGTGTATGTTTTTTGCTCCTGTGTATACATCATTAGTGGCCTGATCCAACTCTGAGTTGTATAAGAATAACTCTGGGGAGTATAAGAATATTGCTTGGGCATGCAGGGATTAAATCAGGAAGGCCAACGCACAATTGGTGTTGCAGCTAACGAGGGACATGAAGGGTAAAAGAAGGGTTTCTACAAATAAGTTAGCAACAAGAGGAAGGTCAGGGAAAGTGTGGATCCCTTGCTGAATGAGAGAGGCAACTGAGTGACAGATAAAGAGGAAAAGGCTTAAGTACTCAGTGCCTTTTTTTACCTTGGTCTTCAAAGAAGAGTTCAGCTCCCAGACTACTACCCAGGCAGCATAGTTTGGGAAGAAGGTAAGCAGCCATCAGTGGTGAAATAACGGGTTAGGGACTATTTAGAAATGTTGGACATGTATGATGCAATTGCAAAGTTGCTGGCCATTATCTTTGAAAACTCATGGTGATCAGGGAGGTTCCAGATGATTGGAAAAGGGGAAATATAGTGGCTATATTTAAGAAAGGGAAGAAGGAGGATCTAGGGAACTACAGCCTTACTTTGGTCCCTGGAAAAATCATGGAGCAGGTCCTCAAGGAATCAATTTCCAAGCACTTAAAGGAGAAGAAAGTGATCAGGAACAGTCAGCATGGATTCACCAAGGGCAAGTCATGCCTGACGAAACTGATTGTCTTCTATGATGAGATGACTAGCTCTGTGGATGTGTGGAAAGCAGTGGACATGATATACCTTGACTTTAGCAAGGCTTTTCATACAGTCTCCCACAGTATTCTTGCAAGCAAGCTGAGGAAGTACGGGTTGAATTAATGGATTGCCAGGCGGATAGGAACCTGGCTGGATCATTGGGTTCAACAGGTAGTGATTAATGGCTTGATGTCTAGTCAGCAGTCAGTATGAAGTGGAGTGCCCCAGGGGTCAGTCCTGGGTCCAGTTTTGTTCAACATCTTCATCAGTTATCTGGAAGATGGGATGGATTGCACGCTCAGCCAGTTCATGGATGACACCAAGCTGAGGGGAATAGTAGATACCTTGTAGGGTAGAACTAGGATTCAGAGTGACCTGGAAATATTGGAGGATGGGTCCAAAAGAAATTTCATGAGGTTCAACAAGTACAACTGCAAAGTCCTGCACTTAGGATGAAACAAACCCATGCACTCGTACAAATTTGAGACCAATTGGCTAAGCAGCAGCTCTGCAGAAAAGGACCCGGGGGTTACAGTGGGTAATAAGCTGGATATGAGGCAACAGTGTGCCCTAGTTGCCAAGCAGGATAGCAGCATACTGGGCTGCATTATTAGGAGCGTTGCCAGCAGATCAAGGGAAGTAATTATTCTCCTCTATTCTGCATGGGTAAGGCTGCATCTGGAGTATGGTGTCCAGTTTTGGGCCCTGCCCCCCGCTACAGAAAGGATGTGGACATGTTGGAGAGAGTCCAGCAGAGGGCAATAAAAATGGTAAGGGTGCTGGGAGACATGAATTATAGGGAGAGACTGAGGAAACTGGAGAAGAAGAGACTGAAAGAGGATTTGGTAGCAACTTTTACTACCTGAAGGGTGGTTCCAAAGAGGATGGAGCTAGAGATTGTTATCAGTGGTGGCAGATGGCAGAACAAGGAGCAATGGTCTCAAATTGTAGCAAGGGAAGTTTAGGTTGGATATTAGGAAAAAACTTTCTAACTAGGAGGGTGGTGAAGCACTGGAATGGGCTACTTGGAGAGGTGGTGGAACGTCCCTCCTTGTAGGTTTTTAATTCCTGGCTCAACAAAGAGCTGGCTGGAGTGATGTAGTTTGTCCTGCTTTGGTCCTGCTTTGAGCAGCGGGTTGGACTAGATGACCTCCTGAGGTCCCTTCCAACCCTATTTTTCTATGATTCTATGAGCTGGGAATTCCTCCAGTGACTTCACTGGGAGCTGAGTAACAAGCATTTCACAGCTGGTGAATTCTGCTCTGTAGATCCTCCTGTACCTGGAAACAATGAATCACAAGTGCTTTTATGCTGGAATCACAGATGTTGACTCCTAGGAACCATAGGCAAGTGTGTTGCATACTGCTCCTGGTCCTTATTTCTGTCCCTCATATGTTTCTGGTAAGTCATTTGCAGTCCCAACTCTTGTCATATGCCTGGAGGTGGGGATACCAGGAAGGAAAGGAGATGATACTCTCTCTGTTTGAGAACTTCCCAATCTAGTCTTACTAGCTTTTTCTATTTCCACCACTACCAAGAAAGGAGGGGAACATTAGGTTCACAGTATGAAATATAAAAGGGCCCATTTCTGGGATCTAGACATTAGCTTTGGCCTTCTTTCCTCTAATGGGTATAGGCAATTACATATTAATTATAACTATCATAATAATGAATAATTAATAAGCATACTACTTACCAAGGACTGGTTTCTGCTACCCTTATTAAAGCTGAATAATAGTTCCTTACACTGTATATAGCTTCATTTTAACATTCATATAAGAGCAGTGGTCTCCAGTCTGAGACATACAAAGAATATGAAGGAGGCAAATACCCACTGCACTCTTCTGTATATAGGGGATACAATGAGAGTTGTCTGTGCTGCTGACACAACATTTAAGGGTATGAGAGTATCACATGAACAGAGCAAGCATCCAAACAACTGCTTACTAATTACCTACATGTAAATGTTGCTGTTCCATTAGGTGCTGTGACTTCTACCACAACAGAGAGGGAGGTCTATTAGTGGACTCCTAATTTTCTTAAGGAATGTTATCCAGTTCTTGTTACAACAGGCCTCATTTATTAGTCTTTTTACAAAAAATTGCTATTGGGGTTTATTTAACTAAACATTTGACAAACTATGTGTATGTTAATATCTAGGCTGATGTACCATGCAAGGCTTCATTTAGCCTGTTTACCCCTGTCAACCTGCACTGCAATATATGAGTTAATGTGTTGTGACTGATACAAATGGGCGAGATGTATTGCCAAAATATGTACTGCTTAGAAATTCCAAAAGACAACTACATGCACCCCCTCTTCCTCCCATCAGCACATATAATTCCTGATGCTGACTGTATAAGTGAACTGGCAAAACATCTAAAAAATAAAGCATTTTTTTCTCTTTTGCCTGTAGTGTGAGGATGTCATGATCTGTAAGTTGCATCCTTTGGCCACAAAGAGATCAAATCCTACACTCTTCAAATTCAGGTTCACCTTGAATCCTATACAAAGGTCTCTGCCCTCTTACCTGATATGGCACACCAGATTTCCAACCCAGTCCTGGGAGCCTTAATTCTTCATTCAACTTATCTGTATGTATCTGTATATGGCAGAGGAAACAATTCCCAGGGAGACTGATGCAAAATCATCGCTATGCATGTGCATTTTGGCTAACAGTTGGCTGAGATTCTGCAGAAGACTCATTATTTTGATCTGTAGATTACATCTATGCTTTTAAGGGCTAATGAGTTGTGGATAAATTTGAGGTCCTTGTGACAAATGTAACATGAGGGAATTACATGGGCATATTGCAATTCATAACTGTTTGCAGCATTCAAGGCCTACCATATACATTGCTTTTGGCTTCTGAAATGTAAAAGATAGTGGAAATGGAATTGTTTTAGAAATGGAATTGCTTTTGCTCCCTAACTGGATGACTAAGTTTTTAAGTATAAGTCAGTAATAAATAGCGAATAATGAATGCTGCATGAAACATATACAATGTAAAGTTTTGCAGATAAATTTGCAGACAAGGTTCTTTGGCTGAATCTCATATCTTTTATTAGACCAACTTAAATAGTTGGAGAACAATTATTAAGCAAGCTTTCGGGTTCAAAAACTCTTCGTCAGGCTAAGGAAGTTTCAGCAGTTGGTGTGTGCTCTTCCATATACCATATACATTGGTGGTACATACAGTGTACCACCACATATACATACAGTGTACCTCCACATATACATACAGTGGACGGAGTGAAAAGTAAAGAAGCCAGCGGCTGGGCTGGTATGCGTTCCGGAAAGAGCACACACCAACTGCTGAAACTTCCTTAGCCTGACGAAGGATTTCTGAACCTGAAAGTTTGCTTAATACTTGTTTTCCAACTATTTAAGTTGGTCTAATAAAAGATATCAAATTCACCCAAAGAACCTTGTCTGCTTATGTCCTTAGACCAACACAGCTAAAACCTACACCCCTGTAACATGGCAGATAAATTTTGCATTCATATTTTAAAACTGAGTAGAGTGAATTGAGAATTTCCCATTTTCCATGAAAATGTTTACAAAAATTTTTTGGGGGAAAAATCCATGACTAACTGAACACTTTTTTTTTTTCTTTTTCTTTTTTTTGGCAAATGTTGTCCTGTATTGTTTCATTTAAAATCAAAAGTCAGGAAATTTCAGGTGGTAATCTAAATATAGGCAAATTATCTTATGAATAATAGTAATATTGACTTTGCTGTTTACATTTTTGTGAATCACTTATAAAAGACATTCAATTCCTATACAAGGAGAGCAAGGGAACTGCTCATTTGTACCTGTAAGGAAAATGTATGAAATGTATGTATATTTTTTCTTTTTAATTAAATCCAAAACCAAAATATATTTTAATCAGAAAGAAAATAGTAGAAAACCAAAAGACATAGGTAGAATAAAAAGCTTGAAGCTGCTTTTTTTTCTTTTCTCTTTAAGATGCTTCATGCTTTTATTAAGCATCTCAGGTCAAAGAAGCAACCATTATATTATTCCAGCATATATGAGCACTCAGGTCTTGGCTGAAAGAGCAATGCGGACCTCTAGACTCCCTCAGATCCTTTTGTTATAGTATGTATATTTGGGCCATGGTCACCATCAGCATTTTCTACAGCTTCAGCTAGTTGTGCCTCTCCAGGAGGGCTGCATATCTTTTTCCAGAGGGCATATTTTTCATCCCACAAGACTTCTATCATGTCCCAGAGTGCTCCTTTTTCCTCTTGTAGGTCCTGGTCATTCTCTCTGAAAGCCATGTACTGTTCCCAGAGGATCATTTTATCCCTTGAGATAGCCATGTCCTCCTCCCAGAAGGCCTTGTCTTTCTTCCAGAAAGCCTTGTATTCCTTCCAGAAAGCCTTGTTCTTCTCTTGGAAAGTTTCATTCTTTCCTTGCAGAGCTTTGTTCCTCTCGCGCATGGCTTTGTTTCTTTCCTGGAACTCCTTGTTTTTTCTTTGGAAGGCTCTAATCGCCTCCCGGCAGGCCTCGTTCCTTTCCTCAAAAGCTTTGATCTCCTCCTCGGCTCCCTTGATTTTCTCCTGGTAGGCTTCAATTTTCTCTTGAATGGCACTGACCTGCTCCTGGAAAACCATGTTTTTAAGCTGGAAGTCCTTGATCTGCTCCAAGATGGCTTTATCTTCTTCCAAGAAGACCTTGATCTCCTCTATGAAAGACTGATTCTTCCTGCGGAAGTCCTTGATCTCCTTCCATAAGGCTCTGGCTCTGTCCCCTTCCTGAAAGGCCTTAATCTCCTCATGGAAATCTTTGTTTTCCCCCCAGAAGGCCTTGATCTCCTTTTTAAAGGCTTTTTTGTCCTCTAGATTCTGGCTGAGCTGCTTCTTCTGTAAATTGGAAAAGGATGGCAGGCGGTTCTTGTTCTCTTGCTTGGGGTTGTAGGTAGCCGGTGTCACATTGTTTTGGCTGACCTGGGGCAGGCTAAAATCCAACCTTTGTTCTTTTTTTTGCTTTGGGTCCATTGGATTATAACTGCATAGAATACTGGCTGGTAGCCTTTATGAGGGGCAGGGAAGTTGGATATTTGTGAAGAGGTTCACTCAGGACCACTAAAACAGAAATATAGGAAATACAAGCCAAACAGGCAGGATTAGCTGCAGTGTTCATAGGATGGAATGAAACTACACTAGAGAAAGAAACTAGCAGCTAAATCTAATTTTTATCCATGGATACAATATATGGTGCATTATTTAAAATCTATGCCTAATATTCTTCAAATGGGACTAGTGATTTGAGTACTTCTATTTTTGGTGTCCAAATTGACCCGTTCTAAGAGCTTCATTCATAAACCAAGACCCTATTAACATGCACCAAATGTAACACTGCAAGGCTGAGCCACTCTCTAGTCTTCTTTTGAAAACTTTGGCTTGAATAGCCAAAACATTTTTTAAAAACTGAACCAGTTTGGGCCAGTCTGTAGCTACATTGCACCTGTAGCATCAGATTCCGCACAGGGGACTATGTCTTCTGGCTCATGGGGCTTCTGAGAGGTGCAGCAGTTCCACACTTGGGACATCTGTGATGCATGGGAAGCGCCTGCCGTCGCCAGTGAGGCAGTAACTATTTTTGTGTTCTCCCACAAAGGTTGCACTTGAGATTGCTGGCCAAATCACTCCCTATCAGTTACACAACTGGGCTCCCCCTGGGTCTGGAAATTTAGTAGTGGGGGTGCAGTGGCAGCACTCTCTGGGAACCATGGCAATTAAAGCTGGCACTGCTTCCCTGTCACAACATTTCAGGACCCACGGGGAACCCCACAGGCTGAATGACAGCACCTCCAGTCAAATTTGGCTTATCGGCTGTAGGTTAAACACAACTGCTGTAAAGCACCCACTACTAGCTCATTCCTTCTGAGTACTGGAGTAGGTAGGTGCTTGATCTTCCCCAGTATGGCAGTTCTCCTGCTGTTACTTAGTCACCTATTGCCAGCACCATGTGATGCTACCTTTCCATAATTAGGTGAAAAATTGGAGGGATGCTTTGAGGTTTGCTTTTTTTTTTTCAGCCCCCTTCTTTTCCTTTACCACTCAGAACAAATTCTAAATTAAATCTTTCATTCCTCGTGTTAAATTGCAGCCAAATATTATTTATTTTTAGCTTGCCTGCTTCTCTATGTTGCTGACGTCTCCTGTCCTGCAGACGATGCTGCCACTGTAATGATGAGAATGTTCTAAAAGATCCAGAATCTAAGTATTCCATTTTGGAACACAGAGATGACAGATTCTTAATTATTCAGTATGTCTGATGTGATTGTGAAGTCATATGATACTGGTTTTACTCCTTGCTTCATTAACTGAAGTGTAACAAAATGATGAATAATCTACTATGAAAGTTACAATGCTACAAACACTCTAGTGGTCATTCATCTAAACCATGCACATCTTCACAAACACCTCTCAGTGATCCAAATAATCTGAATAAGAATTACGGCAATTACTGTGTCGTACTGTGTATTTCCTGCATGGATTTGTAAAACGGAGCACCGGTTATTCTTTTCCCCCTAATTGACCAGATGGATTATGAGCAAAGCAGATGTGATTACAAGGTGAGCTGGCTTTTGTAAGTGTTATTTGGGTCAATCCCTGACCACTGTAGCTCTGAACCTCTGAGCACAAGTGCGGAAAGACAAGAGGCAAGAAGATGGTGTCTTAGAGGAGCAAAAATAGGACACAAAAATGGAATTAGAGGATTGGATTAATGCATTCTTATTAGTGTTTTAAAACACATCTCTAGGGACTTGCCTGTCCACCTTAGAAGCCTAATAAATTACACTGAAGTCAGAAGTGCTTGAAATCCGTGGGAGTCACATGTATCCTTTTTGAGGCTTGGAAAATAGTTAAGAGAACTACCAAAACTTCTCCCTCATTCCCCTTTGTTTGCAGCATATTCAACTAGCACAGCTTTTTGCATCACACAGGAACACATGCACAGATGTGCACAAAAACCTTGTGTGCTGATACTCTGAAAATTACTGATCTTTCCCAGTAGTTAGTGTTCTTATGAAATTAGATGCTAAGGGCCTGGCCAATGTATAATAGTGCAGTTTTTCAAATAATCTTCTGACTTTAACTGTAAAATATCTGTAAGCACAGCAGAGGTAACACAACCCTGCTAATCCTGCGATAGGTGATTGGGCAGCATTGCCTGAACAGCACAGAGATTTCATAAGCATTTCTTAAATGCTTCTGAAGTCATCATAGTTAAGATCTGTATCACCCCAGGCCAAAGCTGAGGAGGATCTAAGTGTGCTAAAATGGATGCTTCCCTTTTACAGAGAAATGTACTTCTGTCTGCATTCTACCAAGAACAAACAAGCCAGGCATGACAAATATGGGGCTGTTGCAGGTTTGTGGCAATTGCTTTGATAAGCAGGGTCAGAGCCTCAATATTTAGACCCATTTTAGCTGCAGAAATAGATGGGGGAAGTATGTTCATTTCTACTGTAACCCAGATATGTCCAAGTGGAGTGTGATAATGCAGTTCTGGAAACCACTGATGATAATATAGCCTAAATCACTATGGCTAGGGACAGAAGTTAAACATAAACCAATTTAAGTGATCAGAAACTGGTTTAAACCTATAACAGAACAGAAGTTCAGTGCACATAAAACAGTTTCAAAATGGCTGAAACTGGTTTAAGGTAAAGCTCGTTGAATGTAGTATTCAACTTAACTGATTTAGGTCAAACCGGGTTATGAAACTTCTGTCCCAGATCCCTTCCTAGTTCAAGTTAAATCACAGTCCCCCAGCATCCCAGCATGCTTTTCAGTCCTGGGCTGGGCTGTGCTGTCTGCTCCAGAGAGTAGGGCTGGCTTTACCTCTCTGCCTCCTAACCAGAGCAGTGAGGGCTGGCTGACAAGAGGATGGAGGCTGTACTTGCCACTTTTCCCTGCTGGAGCAGAGGGGGTGGGACGTGTGGGCAGGCAGGCTTGGGTGGAGGGAAGGGAGGGGGTTTTAAACCCCCTCTCCCATTGGCACAGGACCTGAGCCAGGGTCTGCTTGGCAGGGGGCTGGCAGGAGACCAGCAGATTCCACCCACTCCCACATCTGGCAACACTTGAGGCACACAAGCAGTAGATAAGGGGAGGGGGAAGGGAGTGTAATTCCCCTCAGCTTCTTCAGGCCATGGGGGAGAAGGAAGAGGCTGGGGAACTGGAGCTGGAGGGACTGGTCCCCTGCCACCTGTGAACACAAGGCTAAGCCCTGTAGGACCAGACTGAGGGGGGAGGTGTTGGCAAAGACCTGGCACAAACATCACATGTATGTGCTAGAGATGGAACTAAGGGAACAGGAGAGGGTCCCAGACTGCTTGGGTTGGTGTAACCAGAGAAAGCAGAGAACTACATTTGTATTATAAAACAGAACCTGTAAAAGGTGGGAGACTGGAATACCTAAGCACAGACAAAAGACAGCGAATGCATGAGAATCCTGCCAAAGGTGAGAGCACACACAACTTAGGAGATACTCTGCCCTCAGCATTACATAAGACTTATGCAAGGCAGAGTATCTCCTTACAGCCAGGTGTTCACCCCTCCTCAGCCTTGCAGGGGCTGCCCTCCCCAGCCTCAAGCAGGGAGCAGGGGGCTGGCAGACACTGCTCCACCACCCAGGCAGCCCCAGGCTGGGCTCCTTTGTGGGCCAGGGATGGGATTTAAACCCTCTCTCCAGTGTACTAGCCCCATGCTGGGGCCTGGCCATGCCCCTTCCGCTTTAGCAGGGAGTGGGGAAAAGCCTTGTGGTTTCAATCTCTTCTCTTTGGCAGTAGCTGGGAGGCCGGGAGGCATGCTCTAGTGCTTCCCAGGTTCTGGCCTGATCCCCTGCAGGCATGTGGCTGCATTTCCTGAATCAAAAGTACATGTCTATTCATTTGCTTCTCAGTTTAATCTCTGTAGTTTAGACTAATCTGTAAAGACTGAATCAATTCAGCCTCGGGCTTTTTGACTGTCTGTACTTAGCCTATAGGCACCAAATCACCCTGTATTACCAGGTCAGTTTCACTGCAGAAATGTTAATTTGTCCCTATTTGTATCTGTTTAACCCACCCTCTCCCTCATGCATGTGTGGGTGTTTGTTTTTTTTCTGAACAGTGTCATTTTTCGTTTTCCTGCTTATATCCCAGGACACACATGCTATGCATATGAAATTAAAACAAACAAACAAAAACTAAGAGTTTATTGGATTTCATTGATGCATGTGGACTAATTCAGTTTTCAGGACTTGATTATTACCTTGATTATCTAATTTCCTAGAAAAAGAAATGCATTTAAATATACCAAGGAAGCAGACTGTCCAGTTTGCCTGATTCTATAAAAATAACCCTGTCTTGGAAGCTACCTGTTTAGGATAATGTTTCCTAATATTGATAAGATGGTGAGGGAATATAATGTTTGTGGAAGACGTCTGTGGATTCATTCTACTACTAGGACTCAAGTAATTGGATTTCTCAATGTAGCATCAAAAAACTCTTCATTAAAACATTCTAGAGAGATATAATGTATGAAATCATCTCTGCAATTGATTATCTTTTAATAAAATGTTGCCTAATATAAAGCCATTTCATAACTAAGTCCTGTTATGGTAAGGGTCTGTGGTCAGGTAGCATGGCAAACTATTTAATATGCAGGCATTTGTGGGATTCCCTTACTTTACAGTCAGGATCAGTTTGCCTGTTTCTAGTCTGAGCAGAATTTCTTTAGTTTTGACATTTTGGGCGTGTCCACACATGCAAGCACATGCGCTTGCAGCAGATCAAATAGAAGCAGTGCAAATTTGAGCCGGGGCTTTTTGCCTCAGTGCACATGCTCAGACATGCACTTTCTTGTGGAGCAAATTGTGCCACTTGGGGCAAAATAACCCTGCCTGGCTCCTCCCGATCTGCAGCCAGGGGAAGCTAGAGCCTGGGGCCAGTACCTGCGCTGTCCTCAACCATACAGAAAGCTGCCCTGGAAAGC